CTGTACGTGCAACGTGTTTACGATAAAGCTAAGTTGTAGACACAGAGCTTTCTATCAGACGATCGATGGGAAATATTTAGTCATAGACCTTTACAACATTTATAACTCAAGCACTGCGTGATAAATGATTGAACGCATCTCGATCAGAAAATCTTAACGAAGTTGAATGAAATTCAAGGTGACCGACGAGTTGTGATCAGTTGGCTCTCCACTGTAATTCCTTCACCGTTGTGGGAAATGTTGAGAAAGGCGAGATTCAGAATTCAACACCGAGATGAGTGTAAAATTAAGTATTATAGCTAGTATTTTAATGTTAGCAATAAAAGGATTTGTCAAGTTTAAGTATTACCTTCAAAGGCATGATGTCCTATCCGTCTTCTTTCGTCGTCCCTGCTTTTAACCGTTGTTGTTAAACGCCGTCATACAACGCGGCAAGGACGCGCGAACCATTAGGCACCTACGAGGGTAGGGAGAGTATCACCAAAATGAAATATCAAGTCCTCAGCCATCAAAAATGTTTCTTTTCAGCGAACTTCAACGTTTTAACTTTGAATTTTTATTTTTAAAAGTAGTTTCTTATTAATATAAAATGGATAAAAGTATAGCTAAAGCCAAAATAGTAGTTCAATTGTTTCCAACACCTCCCCCTTGGTAAGAATTTTTTTGTGACACGTATGTCAGCGGTATTTGTGTTAGTCCCTTGGTGACTGCATGGCAACATAACATGTTCGGCACGCGCTGGAAAGAATCAGTCTGAAACTGCCGTAATCGAGTGAGACTACTCTGCGATGAAACGTTCCTTTCCAGAATGGTAAGCCCTTCTTATGGCCAACAAGTCGCTCCTCTTCGCGGTAGACCAACGATATTCGGTAATGTATACGAAAAAAATGTTGTGTTTCTTCTCGACACCTCTGGTTCCATGTACCACAGTATGGATGTTGTCAAAGAACACTTACTCGAAGTTCTCTTCGCGCGGGCGATTTCTGGTAGAGATACTATGTTCAACATCATTGAATTTAACGAAGAAGTAAACAAATGGGCGGACAGATTAGTGACATGTACTCCGCGTACTGTGAGTGTTGTTAGCGAATGGATCCACGAACTGAAATGCGGAACATCAACAAACACCATGGAAGCCTTGATTGAAGCTTATGGTGATGATGGAATGGATGCTATCTATTTAGTCACTGATGGCCTACCTGACCAGAGCCCTCCGGTTATAATAGAAAACGTCCGTCGCCTGCACAAAGGTCGGCCAATACACGCGATATATCTCACTGGTACTCACTCTGATCCAGCAGCAAAGGAATTCCTTGAAGAGTTGGCTAAAATCACTAAGGGTTCCTTTCACTGCATAAGCCTCACCCTCTATGGTAGGATACAGAAGGTCACGCCGATCTTCAATCAGAAGACTGAATTTATGAGGCATTACAATGGTGAATTCTTATCCCCCAACCTTACCTCATTGTTCAGTAGCAACACTACCCCTCACGGTCCTACCTCAGCACCCCCCGCATCAGGGTTTGTCCCCAGGATATATGATCCAGGGACTCCTGTCACTCTCCTCAAGGCACCTCATGGAAGTGTTCCTATTCCTTATGTCTCATGGAGTAAGTATGATCAGGACAGAGGGACATCACAGGTCCTGCAGTATGCTGATGCGGTACTGGCCTCGCGAGGGCTGTCAAAAGACAGCGATAAAGCCATTGGTAACACTAGTGTACCAGTGGCTGCCAGTGTAATGAAGGGAATGAAGATACTGGCAAAGAAAGATTCAGATGGTCTTTTCTACATGGCATCTGTCAAAGAACAGGTAAATGAATGCTACATGACTGTACAATGTACAGGGTAAACTATGACGGATGATAAGTATAATTATTGTCCGTTATGGGGGTACAGTGCATCCAGCTGTGCTGCTGGGATATAGAGATGTATTGGTTGCAAGGAATACAATGAGCCCTCCTTCTTTTATTGTTTGGAAGGAAGATGTTCCACAGCCTACAAGTTATAAAAAATAATTATTGTTTGTCTGTTTGGAAGGAAGATGTTCCACAGCCTACAAGTTATAATTGTAGTATTTGTAGGTGCTTTAGTAAAGTTTGAGCCTTGTGTCAGTTACATGTAGTGTAGGTCAACATCTACTGTCACTATGATTTCAATGATCTCAGGGCTGTTTATCTGTAATCAAGGCTGAATATTGGATGAAAAGTCAAATCAAATGGTCAGATCTGGGTCACACATTGTACATGAGTGTAACTGAGTGCTACTGAATGAGAATGAAGATCTTCTGTAGAGTATCTCTCTCTCAGGAGGACAGGAAGTCAAGTACAGATAATTAAATGTCAAATCAATAGTTATTCCAGATTAAATTTTCAACCTATAATCATGTAATTATAACCAATAGAGTCACAAAATAAATGAAATTTTATTGTTCAATTAAGGGAGAAAACAACACATTTGTGGTAGAGTTTGACAAGTGCCCTGCCCTTCGCAAGTCACATCTACAAGAAGTAGCTCTGTATGACATGATTGCTTATAAAGATGCCATACGACATCATGTGTGTATTGGAGACAAAGTGTTAGCACCATGGCAGGATGATGGACGATATGGACCAGGTACTGTTCTAGATGGAGTGGACCGCAGGGATCTTCAACCACAAGGTATTATAAAAAAGAAAAAAACATCTCACCCTTTGTACTTCAATGTACCATGAGTGATTGATTTGTTAATCCAAACAAGAAATGGACCTAAATTAATTCAGTCATTTTTAGGGTACAGCTGTACAAGCATTAATTTATTACTTGAAGGGTGAAAGGTTATCAAGGTTCAAGACTGGAACACTTGGATTTTTATTAGTGAGACGTGAGTGGTCCAGTAGTCAGTGTGCTGGACTCTGGGTCGGATGGTTCTGTCTCCTGCAGGGTTAGGGGTTAATTTCCCACGCATGAGATTGCTGTGTGATGGATGTCCTCCCCTGGGGTGGGATGGGTGGGAAGGTGAGATCGTTACATGGACTGAAGTGGCAGCCAGAAGCACCTGATAAAATGCTGACGTCCTATCTCAACCTTAACAAAAACATGTAACAAACCTGTAATTCATTATTTTCTGCAAAAGGTTTGAATAAACATCATCATCATTTCGTAGTACGGCTTGCACTTATATTGCTGTATTTAGTTGTCGACAATAGCTACTAGTATTTAGTAGATTATCATGAAGTTGCTGTGTATGAATGTTGAGAAACAAATTTGTAATAAACTGAGCCAAAAGGCAAACTTAAGTCAAACCCACCTTTCCCTTGCCCCTCCCACCCCTATCCAACTAGGAAAATGTTATCAGGAATAGGCAAAAAGGTCATTTCAAGAGAGATTTCTCCGTGTTAAGTTAAAAATTATTTTTGTATTGTATACAGTTTTTGTATGGCTGGCATTGTAACTAACTCAAAGTGTCTGCTCAGTGAGGGTGTCCCTTTACAAATCATAGAGAATTATAGTGCATTCTCTATGGAAACAAGATTGACAAGCATCTTTCTGTCACTTTCTACATGTAGCTCTGTGCATGTCTTAAACCACCATTGTTTTCCCTTTTTCTTTTCTCTCTTTTTTCCTTGTCTTGTTTAGGTTATGAAGGAGGTAACATTCTTGTAGCTTTTTACAATGGTCAAACAGAGCAGTTATCCCCAGGTGTGGCTGTAAGAATACCTCTGGCTGTGTTTGATCGTATTGTAACTGAGCTTCAGCTCCCAGAGTCCCAGCGTAGAAAAATACGACTTGCTGCTGACACCTCAACCCCACCCTACCAAGGAAGACCTCCACCTGTTCACACCACGTGGCAACGGCCATTCAGCCCTCCACGGCACCACAAACGGGCTATATCCGAACATAATTCGAAAGACGCTCTCGGTGAGAAGATAAAATCACAGCTGGAGAGAAATAGGCATCTTTTGGAAAGGGTGAAGTTCGAGGAAGAGGGACAGGACGACGGAAGTGTTTCTGATGCAGACGAAGAGGAAGCTAATGGGGAACATGATCATAGGGAAGACACTTACAAACATGCGGAAACGTTTGATGCTTGTGTTGGAACAGAAGATATTGGTATAAACTCAATTGTTATATTTACTGAAAGAAAATTTTTATCAAGGCTAGTAGCAATCAATTAACGACGGAAACTAGTCTAATTAAAAGAGGTAAATATTTTGCTCCTCAAAATTGAAAATAGTGAAGAAAGACTGCAGATAGAGCACTTTGTAACTGATTCTCGTAAAAAAAAGAAAAGGTAAAAAAAAGTTAAAAAAAAAGCAAGCCAAAGCAATCAGAGCAGCTAATCAGTCGATTTTTTGAAAGCAAAGCAAGCGCTCTAGAGACCCTGCAAAGCGTCCGCGTTCGTTTTTTCCCTTGGACTCTGGAACGTGATATAGAAGGAAAAAAGAAAGTCTGTAAACAAGTTAGGTTGAAACATGACCGGGACAGAAGTAAACTTTTCACAGGGTCAAAGAGAACTCAAAGTACAAAGCACACTACCAACCTTTAGCGAAAAAATGGCTTGAATGACCAGCCTCACTGATACTGAGAGTTTAACGGAGTGAGACTTATGACGTTTTAATTTGATAATTTTTAACCAAATCATCAACTCTTTGATTCGACAGATTTTAAAAGATACGTAGATCCAGTGATACCTGTGGGAACTCCTCTAACAAAAGCAGGTGGAAAGCCAGAGGCTAAGAAGCGCTGGCGTTGGTGGAGCTCAGGGGTACCTCCCCGACCCCCAAGGTTCAGAGAGACAGCACTGGCAAAGCCCCCCGAGGTACGGGATGATAGAAACCAGCGTCCGATTTACCAGGAGTATCAGACTGTAGCAGGTGTACCGTTTCCTTCTGGCACAGGTAACGTTTAACTTAGTAACTTTTTCATGTGTAGGTTGGAGTCATGACTAAGAATTAATAATAGTTGTTGCCAATAACTAATGGTATAAATCTACTAATATGCTATAGCAAGTGATGTAATCTTATTGCTACACCACTTGCCGAGTAAATAGTGTAATTATCCGCACGTCTGAAGTCTGAATGACGAAATCATGTAGATTTTTTACAACTGAGACGTTAAACGATACGTTCTCGTTTTCCATGTGCGGTGATAGATTCAGGCTTCTCCCCCCTCAACCCCCCTCATCAACGATTACCATAGAAATCTCGAGTTAATCATTGGATGTTGTAAATTAGGTAGCCATTGCATGGCGCGCAGTGAAACTTATTGGTGATTGAGTAAAGGTTTGAAGTTGGCCTCAAGTAGACTGTTGATTAAATGGACGACTCGATTTAGGCCGTGAGCTATTGTATTTCCAATTTATTCTGAGCTTTCGCTGATTAACGTTCTTGTTAGAGATACAGTAGCTCAAGGCCTCAATCGCATCGAACAGTTAATCATTGGTGATTGTTTTTTTTCGATTGGGGAGGCTCGTCCACGTTTTTATGTGGGCTTACCACGAGTCACAACTGACTGCTCAACCAGAGAATAATTTCGTAATTAATCAGAACTTCTCCGGCTGGTTCAGTCAATTCTTAACTTTGTATCCAATGTCCTCTTGGATTTTTCGCAACAAAAAGCTCAAGGGCTCATTCCTAACTGGAAATATAATCCCCTACAGTACCGTTTAAAAGTAAATCGACAGTCTCTCGACTGTGGAAAACTTTCGAGGACCAGTTCGAGTGTCGGAACTTTCAAGATGCATTTCAGATATTTTCGGATACAGTTTCAAGATATGAGAGACGATAGTGTTAAGAAAATTTCGCGGGCTCAATTTGGTTCACGACTCTTTTGTCCACTTTTCAGTGGATATTTACTGCTGGTGTGCATTTAACGTACCCATAACCTACTAATCGGTTTGCGCATGCACCGAGGCTATGCAAGGCATACCAAATCGTTTATGCTTTTTAAATAATTATGACCTTTGCAACCGACAATGAAATAGTTATTACTATGTATTTTTCAGATAAAAAATTCCAAGATGGGGAGTGGCATCCCCACCATCAGTGGAAGAACACTGGTAAGGCCCTGGTAAGATCCGGCCCACCACAGCTCAAACATCACGAATACCAGACATCCAAGGGAGTGCCTTTCCCATCGGCAACAGGTAACTTGCAACTGAGTTGAACAAACAACATGACAGATGATAAATGGTAGAGAATGCGTTAAAAAAACTTGAACCCAATGTATCTTCAGAGATTCCTTGGCTGTTTGATGAAAGCTTCGTTTTTGGTCGTTTACTCTGGACCAGATAGTCGGTGTTTACACATTTCTCAACTCTGGAGAACTTTAATGAACAGTTTTATTTTCGATAACTAAAAACAACGTTTTGAGTATGAAAGGTAGACCAAGCCCGAGAAAAATTATACGAATTTATATAAAAAAGTGTCACCAATTGTGATCACTTCTTCTCTCAGTTCACGATCAGCACTTTGATTTGACCTTCTTTGTTATTCCTATCTCCAAGATAAGAAGTTCAACACCGGTTCCGATGGAAACTGGCGACCAGAAGACAATGGTACCTCAGTTCAGCGGTCATCTAATTGGGAAGATGGTTTGGGACGTGGAGACATCGAGAAAAATAGAAAGGAGAGAAGAAGACTGGAGAGTAAAAGAGACGCCAATGAAAGATACCACGCACAAATAATAAGAGACTCCGTTGATAAACAACAGAAAGAACAGGCCAGGCAAGAGTATCATAGGTGAGAAGCTTCGCCCATATATCAGTCCTCTATAGTATTTTTGTTTTTTCAAATCTCTGGCATTCTGTTGTTCCATTGCAGAAAAAAGGTCGATGAACGAACTCGTCAAATTTCGGAGCAATCTGCAGAAAAAGCACGTCAAGAGAGCCAGAGAATGGAGCACAAGAGGCAATCAACTGAGAGGGTTTGCAAAAAGGAGCAAGAAAGACAAGAAAAAGCCGACACCTGGAAGCAATCAAGGATAGAAGCCATGAAAGAACGGAGAACCCAACACGAGGAAATGGAGAACAGTTACGAAAGAGCTGCACAAGAACAAGAGTCACAAAGACTAGTAAGTGTAGAGAGTAAACGATTGATTAACCCTTGTGGGGAAAAATTCGTTGAGATATACGTTTCTCGAACTCGTCGCAAATATTTTAGAGATGTTGTAGAAAATCTTTATTATTAAAGTCTCCTTCTCTATCCTTACTTTAAGCTACAAACCTCAAATTCGACTAGTATGGCCTGCGGAGCAGGCCTACGGTTGGCGATCAAGTGCTTAGAGAGATGTTTTTTTTGGAAAATTACAGCTGCCATCTTTGATTTCAACAGTAGTGGAAGACTAAGGAGGGAAAGAAATTTGTACCAAGGGGGTGATCGATGGTCAAAAGGAGTGGAAGGTTAGGGACAATAGAATTTCTAACCTTTTCCCGCCCCCTCCCCCTACCGACCAATTTAAACATTAGACGATCGCGAGCTTGTAACGTTAATTCGCTCTGAGAAGACGCCTACACTGCACGCTATATGTATATAGAAAAAAAACATACTCGTATATTGTCAACGAAAACGTTCTGTTGTAAATGCAGTTGATTGATGTTAATATTTGACGCACAGACTAAATCTTGTGTCCATCGTTTCTGTGCAGAGTGGACTGAAGGACAGAGAACAAAAGAGAGTAGAGGCGCACCACAATCGATTGGAGACCGAGAGGAGAATGGGGATAGACAGGGAAGACCAGCTGAAACATCGGGAGCTGGATCGACAAACGAGAATACAAAGGATAAAAGGGGAGGCTGAACAGAGAAAAGAGATGAAAATTCATGTGAAACAACAAAGTGAACAGAGATACCGAGCCAGCATTCTTCCTTGAACACAGAGAGGAAATGCAAAACGACTGATGATTGGTTGTCACTGAGAGAAAATCAGGCGATAGTCAACCCCCGGAGAACGGATCCGGGTATCACAGCTATTAAAAGTGTTTTGTTCGAAGTCTAACAACAGAGCCCGTCAGAGAACAGTTCTGAGTTTACGATCCCTGGGACCACTATGCGTATCTGCAAACTTCAAAAACAAACACGAAAGATATTACACTTTTCATTTACAAACGGCTGAAAATTTTTATTGCCGTTCGCGAGGAGATTTAGTTGATGCGATATACAATCTAGATAACATTTGGCCAATAACTGATGAGAACTTGTGCCCTCATGAAAGATTGATCATAGGTCGACAAGTTACCAGCTGAGATTTTATTGACGCGCTGACAAACTCGAAGTGAGGTAGACCATGAACGGTATTGTTTTCGCTCGAAAATGAGGAAAGCCACCTTTAGCAATAGACTTAAAGTCAGCAAAAGTGTGACTACATCTGTCTTGTACTCTGTCTTGCTACTGAAGTCTTTGCGTCCCCAAGATACTTGCAGTGAACTTTGGCCTTTTTCAAGGAATCAGACCTAAACAGTTTGTTGAGCAATAGTTTCATTTCTTATTCCTTTTGAAACCTAAAAGCGAAATCTAGAAAGTGAATGATTTATTTTTGAATTTTGTGATTTTCTGGGTTTTTAGGCTTATGTTACCTAAATTATTGAGGCAAGGAAATCTTTCTTCCCTTTTTTCGAATTTCAACGATTGCTTGCACTGCACAGCTCAATGTATTAGCGCAGATAACCTCTCTGACACGGACAACGAAAACACAAAAAAATTGTCCCTTTTAGCGCGTTTTCCGTTATAGTAAGGTCACCTTAATGAATTTAAAACTCAAAGGACTGTTTCAGTGCCTAGTAGAGACAGATGTATATGCACCTCTATGCGTTGACATACGTAAAGAGACGGTTGTCTTACATTAAAAGAAAAGGAATTACAACAATGCCGTACCTAAAAAGGAATTTGTAACTAGTATTAAATAAAAACTGTTTCACAGGATTTTGTTCTTGTGGGAGATTTGGCATTGTAAACCACCCATTGATTTTCAAGGGCTTATATTTGCTCCTTTACGTCACGTGGTGCAAAATCACCGGACAGTTATCACGTTATAACCCAGTCTATTTCGATATCTGTCGTCCGATTATTTCGTCGAAAAGAAACAAAGCCAGCAGGAGAAAAGCGACTCAAGAGTTACATCCTTTCATCTCTGTTGAAACAAACTCGTTTCAAAGAGTTCAGTGCCAGTGATATTAAAAAGCTGGTCGCAAATACACATCCACCATTAGGCAACACTGGCTTTTTTAACGAGTGGTTCATGCGCGTGATGAAAATCAACGGGAGGGTTATAAAGTAAATAAACACCTTTCTGGCTTGCTGGTGTATGTCCGCCAATAATGTCCATAGAGGGAGAGATAGACCTCAAAATTTCAGGGTTTCCCTTGAGGCTTCGCTTCTGGGTTAAATATATATTTTTCGAACAGTCATACAAGCCGCCTTGGGGGGATTATCAACCAATTAAATATTTATGTAAGAATGACTGACCAAGACCTTAAGGACATATATAAGCAAGGTTTATCCTATCGTCTAATGACACCGTTCGTTGTCTAGGGTTTCACTGTATTCAGGTTCCTGAATCTAACTAAAAGGTGTGAAGATTACGGGTTTATTTTTAAAAAGCATAAGGAAAAATTTCCATTGTACGCGTGTGTGTATTGCTGTACAACGTTCCGTTATGAAGAGATAAACTGAACGAACATAATGGGAACAAAAATTCCTCGAAATACTATCCTCAACCACCCGTTACTGAGGCTTTCTTTGGTTATGGTGGCGATTCTTTTTTCCTTCCTTGTTGGATTTTTCATAAACTCAAGTTCTCTATCAAAACGCTTGGAAACAGAACTAGAAATAAAATCAAATGAGCAGCGAGGTGCCTACGACGTTCAAACAGAACTTTTACGATCATTTAAGGCGGAAAATCTCGAGAACAATTCAAGGTTAGTACTTAAAATTGATGTTTTCTGGCCCAGCGAAGTTGACGTCTTTACCAACCCGGGGTTTAACCAGGGCTTGGCGTTCATCAACGCAATGCAACTTTCGGTTTTTTTTTTTTTTTAAGGCTGTCTGTTTTGATGCCCATCTTCTCTCACACCAAGGGGTAATTGGTCGAGGCAGCAAGATTTTTCCCTTCGTTCAGCCGCAGCAAACTATCTTTGAGCCTTTTCCAGGCTTTGAACATTTTCATGGATAAAATCAACAAATTATAGCAGCAGTATTCCACAGAATAGAATGTGGTGATTTGACCGCAATTCAAAGTTGGGAACGCAATCAAACTCCATAAGCCTTGATTAAATACCTACGGCGTTAAAGTATCTAATTTTTGCCCCATCTTCTACATGAGGCCTCTGTTTAACAGCGATCCAACGTTTGATCGAGAAGATGCGCTTTATTAAATTGAAAAAGGACTGCTTTGAATTAAGAAGGGCCCTAACATTGTTCAATTTGATTTACAGGTATTTTTCTAGTGAGCCACATTTTGCTGGTTCAAAACGCAACAACGACTTAGCCCACTACATTGCTAAGAAATGGCGAGAGTATGGCTTTGATGATGTTAAAATGCCAAAGTATGATGTGCTCATGGATTCACCACGAAAAGATCGACAGAGCAAAGTGGAAATTCATCGTAATGGCCGTGTAATTTTTAAATCTCGATCCGTTGAAAAGGTTTGATAGGCTTCTTTTAATTTGTACCTAGCACCCTTAGACCATTAACCATAACATCAGTATATAATGCATTTATCCACACATTTCCTATGGTAATGGCAAGAAGAATCCGTAAAACAATCAAGAGCTTCTTGGACATAATCATGTTCTTCATTCTAATGACCCTGATAATGGGATTCAGGGCTAACACTGTAAGGAGAAAGTAGATGTTGGTCATTCCAGGGGTTTACGCGTTAATAATTAATTTGAATCATTCACGCACGATTAGTGCCACCTCATTAGTATTTGGCAACTTTTCTTTTATAATCGGAGCTTGCAGAGAGGCACATGTATAGAGACCTACTGTTTTTTTTTTTTACTCCCTTTAATAAATAGTAACCCTCTTCCTATATTGGAATTCCGATCGTTTTCGTCCTGTCAAGGAAGATGGAAAATTAGTTGAGTAATCGGAAGGTTCAGAAATATTGGTAGTAAATGACAATGTTATACGGGAGAATGGGAAACCAGTTTTGGTCCAAATTAATGCAAATTTAGCAGAGTGGACTTCGAAACCAATCAGGATTAAAATGCGCACGGGGAGATGTCTGTATAACAGAGTGGGTAATCCGGAAGCCTGCGGAACCCTCCTCTGAGATCAACAGACCTAAAGAGATCATGTGCATCAGAAACTCGTTCCCGAGTCCATCCCTATCCTTAACGACGAAGGTAGTGGATGGAAGGAAATTTTCCATAGGGAAAGGCTCATCCCCAGTTTCAGGGAAGCTGTTATTTGACCGCTTTTCCACTAGCACTTTACCTTTTCGTTATCGCTTGAGAGACCAGTGTATACATTTTTTAAACACCTATCGCCCGCTTTTAACATTCCAAACGCTCAAATATTTCACTAACAGATTTTACGCGAAGATGAAAAGAAAGGTAAAAGTACCCCAATTTTCCTGGCTCATTCCCCCAGTGGGGTGGTAGAAGGAGAAGTTGTGTACGCTGACTTTGGTACTAAAGAGAATTTCATGCATTTGAAAGCCGTGGGCGTGTCCATAAAAAACAAAATTGTTCTTGCGCGACTAGGCAAGATGTATAGAGGAAACAAGGTATGTATTTTGTAATTGACTTAATGGACCAGTTATTATTTATCATCTGTTAGGGAGGGACTATAGAAAATTGACTGCCGATTAGCTGCTAACATGATGAAAGGGGGGATCAGAAAGATATTACAAAGCCTTAGGGGGATCAGGTCAATTCTACAGTGATACAACCAAAATCCTTTAACCCTCCCTCCCCCCCGCATTAAATAATGACTGCTCCTTTACGTCCATCTAGTTACACAAAAAGACGACCTTACAATGAATTAATCCGAATTTTGAAACAAAAGCTAAAATTATCTTCTAAAGGTCCTCAATGCCGCCTCACACGGCGCATCTGCAGTCATCATCTATAACGATCCTGAACAGTATGCACCAGAGGGAACCAACAACACTTTCCCTAACTCGTGGTGGCTTCCTGACTCTGGGACCCAACGTGGATCAGCAAGAAAGGCAACGGGGCCTGGTGACCCACTTACCCCAGGCTTTCCCTCTGTGGATGGTATATACCGAGAGGCACTAAATGGGAGTGATTCATTGCCAATCCCTGCTATGGTTCTATCTTATGGGGATGCACAAGAAATACTACGTCGAATGAAAGGTCAGTACCCTTTTAGCGTCGGAAGGGGGGTGTTACTTAGGGCTGGGAGCCCTAACTAGTCTGTTACGTAACAAGAAAATCTTTCGGGGGAAACTGTTACGATAATTCTGAAAACGAAAGTCTGCAGAAAGCGTAGACGTGCAATGATTTGACGACTTTTTGCCTTGCATGCTATGCTTTTTCTTCCCAATTTTATCTTTTGATTTATGACATTGTCCATTCGAGGAGTGGGCACGTCTTGAATAGAAACCGACATTAAAGTCACCTTTTCTCTCAACTTTCCCTATCTCCACAATTTTAACGAATTTTGTTTTTAACATGACAGGTCTTAAAGCACCAAAGAGTTGGCGAGGAGGTTTGCAGTTAACCTACTGTATTGGACCTGGATTTAAAGACAAAACTCTTACTTTGCGTGTCGAGGTCAACAACAGCTTGGAAACCAAAACCATTTATAACGTGATCGGCCAGATCAGAGGTACTGTAGAACCCGACCGTTATGTACTCATGGGAAATCATCGAGACGCCTGGGTATTTGGTGCTGCCGATCCTGTCAGCGGTACTGCTGTGTTAATGGAATTATCACGTGGACTAGGAAAGTTAATTGGAAAAGGATGGAGGCCACGCCGGACAATAATGCTTTGCAGCTGGGACGCTGAAGAAAGTGGTGCTGTTGGATCGACAGAATGGGTCGAGGAAAATGCTCAAATTCTTCAAAATCGCGCTGTTGCTTATCTCAACATAGACCAAGCTGTTAATGGTAATTTCAGTCTTAATGTCGATGCCAGTCCTTTACTCAAACAGTTGGCCGTTCGGTTGACCAAAGAAATCTGTGATCCAACAGTTCCAGATACTTGCAAAAGCATGTACGAAGTCATGTTGGAGAGAGATGTTACTAAACACGTTAATGGCTGCGCAACATGTGATGATTTGTCATTTGGCAGTGATTATGGTGCGTTTTACCATTTCCTTGGCATTTCATGTGCAGATTGGTCTTACATCTTTGGAGGAAGGTACAACATCAGGAGAGCGTATCCCGTTTATCACTCCGTGCATGACACGTTTTACTGGATGAAAACTTTTGTTGATCCCGAGTTTCAAACTCATCTGGCCGTGACAAAATTTGCAGGGGCGTTTCTTCTCAAACTTTCCGATTCTGAACTCTTACCTCTCAATACAACTACTTACGGAGAAGTCTTACAATCAAAGGCCGTTCTCTTAGAAAAGAATGCTACACTCAGGGTGCATAACATCAGCACGGCTGCTTTTTCTCGTGCAGTCAGGAGCTTTGCGAAAGTTTCGCATCAGTTTGAAAGAGGCAAGCTAAAAGAGAAACCAGAGAACTACCGCATCCTGAATGATCAAATGATGCAAGTCGAGAAAGCGTTTATACAAACTGTGGAAGTAAACGACTGGAAACTGTCCAGACATGTAATATATGGCCTCAACGACGAAAATCTGTACGGTGACTTGTTCTTTCCGCGAGTACATTATGCCATGATCAAGGCGAAAAAATCAGGAGATTGGAAACTGGTGGAAAAAGAAATGTCTTTGCTGACACATGCCATTACTTCTGCTGCAAATGTTCTGAAACCCATATGAAGACGAAGATAATTTCAAACTTTTGTTTGGAACTAGTTTGAATTGGTTCCCTTCGTGATATTGTCATGTCCTATGCATGGCAGCTGTCAGCTAGAGAAAACACATTTTTATACACCCTATGGACGAAATGCAATATGTATGAGTTAGCCTATGGATTTAGGCTTCAAACTATAGAGCGGTTAAGGATTGTTGATATCCAGATAGTTATCCAGATATCCGGATAGTTGTATCCAGATCAAAGTCCGAAAAGAAACCTTGCTCTTACTGTAAGTGCTTCCCGCTACCCGGAAGAAAACAAATATAGCACAGAAGAACTGTAAAGGAGGCCGAACAAAAAAGGCTGGAGGTTAGACTCCGTCGTACCATGATTCCGAAATCGGGATGAACTCTCAAGCTCTGCAAACCAAGCTGTTTTTACAATTCACGAGAGTTTTGTTTGTTTGTTAGATGTTTTTCGGATTTAGTTCTGGTTTTTAGTTTTTCTCTTGTATCTATCAGTAACGTATTCCCTTTTAGGCACAAAGGCAACTTCATGACTAAGAAAGCATAGTTGCTCGTTCGTATGGGATAGTTCTTAATTGGTTAGTTGTTATAAAAAGGATGTTACTAAAACTGATAACAGGGAACGGGGAACGGGGAACGGGTGTACAGCGGTAACCGCCTGAGAATTCAAAATGGCGGAGTAAAAGGGTCTGGGAACTAGTTTTGAGCACGTGCTCTTCGAACGCGATCGTCGAAGCAAAAAGCATGGACGGTAAGTGTAGGTTGTAGGATTTTACTTTGAAATGTTGAGTGCCTCGTAAATTTAGTTTTTGTCTGGCACACACTGCAGGTTGCATAGAAATCAAATCCTCGGAGAGGTGAGTATCTTAAAATTCATGCACAACATTTGAACAATCAACTCAGAACTACAAGCTCGCGGCATTTAGCATGTCTTCAAAGCTTTTTGGAGGGCCTTTCGAAGATTAAATGTTAAATTAAATGTTAGATAA